GGCCGGGCCGGAGGCCGCGCGGCCCGGGTGTGGGGGTGCTGCGGGTCGGCGCCGCGCGGGCTCCCTCCCTCGCGGTTTCGGTTCCGGTTCCTCCCGCTCACTGCGACCTGTGCCCGGCGCGCTCCGGCTCCAGCCCCGACGCGCCCCCGCCGCCGCCGCGCGTCCGCTGGCTACACTTCCTCTTCCTCTGAACTCATGTGCAAAATATGCTGCGCTGCATCTTCAGGGGAAGCCGAGCGGCCCTGACAGCCGCAGCGGGAGCCGTGGGCCCGCCCAGCGAACCCCTCCTCGTGCCCCCCTCCGCGCCCCGCGCGCCCTAGGAATTCTGCGCCACCGCCTCGGTGAGGCAAGCGAGAGCCGTCCTCGTGACCTCGCTCGCGATCCGGGGCTCTGACCTTCGCTCTCCACCCGCCGAACCAGCTTGTGTGTGCCCAGGACAGCACGTGGGAGACTGGGATGCCCCAAGATTTGAGCCAAGACGCAGGAAGGGTGACCACCATCAAGGTGCTGGGCGGGGGCGGGAGAGAGGGCCATACCGAGGTCCCATTCCACAGGTGGGAGCGTCCCCAAGGGTCTCCCAGCTGACCAAGTTATTTCTTGGCAAGGAGCTCTTCCCCAGAGGAACGAGGCCACTGCCCTCTTGCCACCTCGAATTCCACCTACAGAAGATGTTCTGAGGGGAGGCTTGGGGAATCGTCTACCCTGGCAACGTGAGGCCACCCGAGGAAAAAATTACATAAAGCGCGGGAACAGCACTGCATTACCAAAATGAGATGTGAGGCGGAGCAGTGGGCCCATGAGAAAAGCGCGTCATCTTGAGACTCAACAAAGCAAAATGGCCGTGTAGAGGTTGAGAGTGAGAACCCAAAGCCAAATGGTTAGAACTGGCTTCCTTGTTTGTGTCCTTATTCCCGCGTGACTTGGGTAAACGTGTGGACTTTTGGCCTGTTCTGTTGCCATACAGCGCTTCCGCCTGCGCTATTAAAAGTGTTTAGGAAGCCCTCTGTAGCTTAGCTATTATCATTGTTATTATCATTGTTACAAGGGAGCTGGAACAAGAAGGCTGAAATAATTTAGTCAATTATCTCCATTTTCTGCTTGGGCAAAGAGGAGTCCTTACACGCTAGAGCCCCTGGGCGGCGGAGGGGTGGTTTAGACCCCAGTGTTTTAATGAGGTCCTTCTGGTACTAATAACACCGCCTAGGGGGTAAGGAAGCACTATTTTGTTTTCAGGAGCTCATCTTGTTACCACTGCTATTCAGAGTTTTTCTTCCCTGTGGCCATCCCAGTCCAGCCCCCGCCCTTCCCTTCACTGGTTTGTTTTATTTCCCCCTTTCCCTTTCCACCCCTCCCCTTCCTGTCATCACTTACCACCACTGCCGTGATTTTCTCCCTTCCGGCCACCCTTGAGCTTGACATCTGGGAGAAAATAGGAAGACCAGGGGGCAACCCAAATCCAGGGCCAGAGAGCAGTGCGTGAGAAGGGTCCAGAGGCACTGCCAATAGTTTTGAAAACCCTTTCATGAAGCCAAAAGGAAGGATCATTATGAGCTTAAAGATCCTGCCTGAGGCCTTGAGTTGCTGCAAGTCAGAGCCCACGTGAAACCTTGATCCTTTGACGGCCACTACAGTGGAGAAAGAAAGTGATATTTAAGGCAGTAACCAGTACTTAAACCACAAGGTGTTTAAAACAAAAAAAAAGGGGGGGGGGAGATAGCATAACATGGTTGCCACTGGAGAAAGTAGTTGATTTCTTTTAAGCAAATTATTTCCACTTATAAAATTTTTGTGCATAGTTGTATTTTAGTATGTGTTTATAAAAAGAAAAAACGGTCTTTGAGGCTGTTCTGATTCTGTTTTCTTCAATATTTTTCTGAGTACTAATGGTTTGTAAATGTCTTCAATGATTATTTTCCCTGTTTGGCTTTATATATTTTAGGTTATCCTAGAACTCTTAACCTTTCCTACTTGATACATAGTAGGGGTTCATTAATAGGTACAGAATGAATGAATGAGTCATTAACATCCGGATCTTTTAAAGTTTTGTATATATTCTCTTTTACCTGGACTTTCCAGTGAGGAGCCCAACATTAGAATCACTTTTGTTGTATAAAAGCTGCCTGAGTCTTCTACTTGGCTGCCATGGGCTGGCCAGCCAGGGGACAGATCCTGGGCAGCTGGGCCTTACCTCTAACTGACCTTATCTACCCAGCATCAACCCCAAAGATGCTGGAACTGTATCCTGGTGGGTTACCTTGGCAACCTCACAATGTCATCTGTTAGAATGTCCTAGGGCGGCAGCTTTTAATTCTATCACAGCAGTCTCATCGGGGGTCATGTAATAGTGCTGTTTTTCCTCTGCTCACACTTCCTCCCCCTATGATTTAACACTAAGTACTTGGGGAGGGAGCTGAACACGGGAAAACCGAGCTATTACTGCACGTAGGGCACAGATGTCCCCGGAACTGGGGTCCCGAGTGATCAAAGTTGACAAAACGTGGGCCCCAAGTTAATGGGGAAGCTGATTCTTCTCATACCCCCTGTGGAAAGAAAAGGAGTTAAGCCAGTCTAGGCAAGTGTGAGAAACAGCCTCAGCCAAACTGTACAAGGCGTATAAAAGCTCAGTGAAAGGACTCCTCCAACAGTTCTTTCTCGGCCTCAGCAGTTACCCTATGCACACACCGGGGGAAGCCACCAGCTGAAGCAATTCTACATCCCAAATACACTGCGGCTTCGAGTGAACTAGAATCCTGATCAACCTTCAATTCCGCCCGCCTTCATCCCACCTCACCCCAACCCCGATTATGTACCTCACCTCACCTCACCCCAGCCCCACCATTTCACCTCACTCAGGCCTACTCTGCTCCTAAGCCCAAAAGAACTCCGTTCCCAGTTATTCTGTAGAAAGCAGTGACAACTTCTGGCAGAAAAGGGGCCCAGCAGAAGCTTTGGAACCTGAAGTAGTATTGTCCTAGTTGTTTATTTACAGGACTATAAAAGTTAGAGCTTATACCCACCAACTGAATGGCACCATTTCAGGGCTGGTGGAAGAGATAAGTCAGCTCATCTTTGTTCTAGAGGTGCAAGAATTATTCGTCTTTATTACCATAGTTAATATTTTAAGTGGGTAGAGTCACAGTGAGATCACAGTCTGGCCAGTGCATCATACTAAAAGGTTACAGGAAGCTGCCCCAGGGAGGGCAACCAGGGTCCTATAATGAGACCCGGTGGCAGAGCCTGGGTCTCTGTCTCTTCGGGTTAGTGGTAGGGGAGAAGAAGCTCCTGCCTTTTATTCACAATTGCAGGCCCAGCTCTGGAAAGCTGGTTCCACCCTGGTCACACTGGAGCAGAACAACACTTGTGCCAATGTCAAAACACGCCCCTGACTCCCTCGGTGGTGTGGGAGTGTGAATTGGGGAGGGAGGAAGGAGCTTGTTAGGTATGTTTTGCATATTCATTGATCTGCCAAAGCCAGAGACTTTTGTCCAAAGTATAGTGAAGCTAATACTTTGAAAATGCCACCCACGGACATCACCAATTTGAGGAAATGTTGGATGACAGCCAAATATTCCATTCACCCCCATACAAAAAAAAATATTGTTATTCTGCTCCTGAATTCACTCCTCATTTTCCCTCTGAATTCACAGTCTGAGGCAGACGGGCAGTTCAGGGGAGCAGGGGCCCCCCTGTGGTTGTGATAGAATTTGCTCTCTGGAGCAGAGAGCCATTAGAGGAGGGATTTCCCGAATACTGCAAGAAGCTGCTGCGATTTGCAGCTCCATTCCCCTATGTCTCCAGAGGAATCCTCCGGCTTTGTCAAGAGCCAGCCACAGCCGCAGGCCTTCTTGGGCTGGTCCATTTGTGAGACACACTTGTTTACTTGTGCTTGTGTGAAAAAAGAAAACTTTATTACCAGAGGTAAGAAAGGCACACAATGTGATTGAAAAAAAAAAAAAAAATGGAGATTTTTCAAATTAAAAAATATATTGCAGTAACAGACACGTGGCCATTAATCCCCCTCAGAATGTGCCCCCTCATCTTGAACACATTTGTTCCATTGCTCTTGTCGCTTTCTGAAGCAGTTCTGCAAGTTCTCTTGTGGGTCTTTAGTTGTGTTATCATGGCTGCCTTGATGTCCTCAATAAATTAAAAATATTCACCTTTCATGGTCATTTTAATCTTTGGGCAAGAGCCGGAAGTAGCACAGTGCCAGATCTGGCAAATAAGTAGACGAAGACACACCATAATGCTTTTATGAGCATGCCTGCCTTTCCCTTGGGGTAGCACCCAGCAGCAGCATTGACTGTATTTCTTAACACACCTTGTAAAGACACTCATGAAAGAGAACTTCCAGAACTGCTTCATAAAGTGGCAAGAGTGATGGGATAAGTGCGTTCAAAGTGAGGGGAATACTCTGAGGGGGCTTAGTGGCAATGTTTTTTATTATGATGATTTTTAAAATTTAAACATTCACCATATATTATGGTCACCCCCAATAGATAGATAATAGATAGATAGATAGGTAGATAGATAGATTCCTCAGATGTCAAAAAAGGGGAGATTGTGGGAGAACATTACTACACAAATGGCTGGGTATTTTTTGGATATATTAACTGAGATGAGTCTTTTCCACCTCTCCTCCCACTCCCTGCCATATTTCTGGCTGTGTTATACTAACCAACCCTCTTGCCACCAATTTAGACAGCTAAAGGACACATAGTTGTCAAAAGGGAGAGTTAGCAGAAAAAAGTTAAAGCCTGGCTTTGAGTTTTCAAAGTTAAGGTCCAAATATAAAATGAAACGAGATGAAAAACAGAAAATCAAGCAGAACTGTAATTCCTACCATATCTCCTTTCCATATGCTCCCCACCCACCCGCCAACCCATACACACACCTTCTAAGAATGAGTAAACGCTGCCAGATTGGAGAAAAGGAAACAAGGACAGTCAAAGAGGATATGTCAGTGACGAGGGCTGGAACTCAGGGTCTGACTAGAGTCAGAATTCAGACACCTCCCACCTTCCACTCAAGTGAAAATCATTCCTCCAAGTCTTAGGATCCTGATGCAAAACTTCTCAGCTCTTGGGACTTGTGCAAGGGGAGCACTATAGGCGGTGGGCAGAGGCAGGAAATGTACTGTTTGTCCTTCCCGCTGTCGGTGGGCAATGACGTGGTCCCAGCAGCAGCCAGAGTCCGACCTGTGGAGCACCTAGAAAGACTGACACTTATTAGCGTAAGATGCCAGTGAGTCTCGAGAGGGAGGGGAAGGGCCTCGGAGCCCCAAGCAGCAGTGAGAAAGATAATCCAAGGACATGACAAGATACTCCCTCTACTTCCCATAGTGTTGTACCTAGAAAGGCCTCAATGGACCAGCTTGGGCCCTCTCTCAGAAGCAGTACTGTGGTTATTACCCATGCAGGTCCTCAGATATTTCTGGTTCTCCTTTTCTGGCTCTGTGATCATTTCTCTTCTTGGCTTCCTGTGGTTGGGAGATGATATGACTAATTCTGGATGATGAATTATGAGCAGAAGTGGTATCTATCACTTCCTCCAACACGGAATTAATTGTCAGGCCAAGCTCCCGCCCCCCTTGCCTCTCTCTTCCCTCTAAGAAGGCCATCAGCACTGGTCCATATGACAGCTGCCCATCAGTCAAGGGTCCCAAGTGATCACGAGAAGCTGAGTCCTTGATCTGACCTGCACTAACTATGTAACATAAACAAGAAATGACTTGTTTTTAAGCCACTAAAACTACAAGTTGGTTGTTTCTGCAGCATATCAAGTACTCCCTATCAAGTACACCCTACTAAAACCCATCAAATTTTGTGCAAGGCATCATGAACTGAGTATATGTGGGGGCCACACAGCCCAAAGAAGTGATCCA